CTATCGTGCCCTTTGCAGATCAAGTTTGCCAACCCTGTCCTCATCTATCCAGTAGACAACCAGTCCAGCTGGTTCCTGGACTTGGCTGAGGAAAGTGATATATTAAGCAGTTAAAGTTATGAAGTCTGGGCTCCTACACTTGTTCTGTGATCTTGCGCAAGTTACTTACTCTTGGTTTTCACAGGTGAAACAGGAGTGATGACAGTGAGGATTAAGGGGGATGATGTCTGGACCGTGCTTCCCACAGTGTCTGATAGCCAGTAAGGACACTCTACAAAGTAGTTACTATTATTAGCTATTAAACTTCAACTGTCGAAAGGCACAAAGGAACTCCCAGAAGAGGGTCACTGCTGCATGCAGCTCTCTTTGAAGAATGTCCAGCAGTAATCCCGTACAAAGCCAAAAAAGATACGCGAACGTCAAAGGTGAGCGTGTCCATGCAACGTACCAGTAAATTAATGATTCCCCCTCCTTGTCAGTGAAAGCAGGAGATCAGAATGTGCAAAGGGGAGCAAGGTCAAGCCCATGGGGTGGAGCCCGGCAGCATCAGTACGTCAGTCTGGTACATAGTAGGCCCTCAGTATTTGTTGCCTGAATGAAGGAAGGCTGCTTGTTTAACTATAACTGATCTCTCTGATGATAAGACCATGGTTAGCCAGAAGATACAATTTCTGCCTCCGGTATTTTAGGGTCTTAGGAAGGAAAATAGTATGCTAAAGAGAGGAAACTCGAAACAAGGACCTGCTAATGCTTCCCTCCTCAGGACGGAGACATTGCAATGGATTCCTGGGAAACAAAAACAAAAGCGGGCACATAAGGTCATGGATTGGCCCAAAATAACTTGGGACACTGAGCAGAGAGATGCAGGCAGCACATCTTGATGGAAATGAGGCTGAGTTGATAAGCCGAAATAGTCTACGCTCACCAGGTGCCCTAACTTCTGCTCCCCGAGGCCTCTGCACGAAAAAGAGGGACGCATTGGCATTAGCAGGTTTGGGTTTCCTCCTCTCGTTAGTGTATTTCTTTCCTTCCTAAGTTCCTAAAAAATTGGAAACCACTCCACTTATCAGGAGCACACTTTGGAATGCAGATCCAGAAGCTATTTTTTCCCCCCCAGACATTTCATGACTCTGGTTTCTACAACAGCAGGCACTGGTGACGCTGCCAAGTTTCTGGAGAAGGGCACCTTATCTGCAAAGTCACGAATCCAAGAATCCAAATGGGCTGCCATTGGCAAGGGCGGAAGGAAGTTGTTTGTCTTAGCTTCTTGGAGGATCAGAAGAAGATTGGGAGGTTTTGGGGGCCTGCAGGGAAAGGTTGCTGGTAGCTTCTCAGAACCACAGTGGGGGCTGTGTAGCACAGTGCCTTAGTAGACACCAGTTTGGTTGCAAATAACAGAAACTCAAACCAGCTGAAGCAGAAAGGGGGCAGCTGTGGGGAAGAAAAGCCAGTGCCTGGGCCGGGCGCGGTGGCTCATGCCTGTTATCCTAGCACTCTGGGAGGCCAAGGCGGATGGATCGTTCAAGCTCAGGAGTTCGAGACCAGCCTGAGCAAGAGCGAGACCCCCATCTCTACTAAAAATAGAAAGAAATTAGCTGGACAACTAAAAATATATAGAAAAAATTAGCTGGGCATGGTGGCACATGCCTGTAGTCCCAGCTACTCGGGAGGCTGAGGCAGAAGGATCGCTTGAGCCCAGGAGTTTGAAGTTGCTGTGAGCTAGGCTGACACCACGGCACTCACTCTAGCCTGGGCAAAAGAGTGAGACTCTGTCTCAAAAAAAAAAAAAAAGAAAGAAAAGCCAGCGCCTGATTGTCCAAGCCTGACTCTCCGGCTTTGCTTAGCCACTGGTTCTCTCACCTTCCTCATTTCCTTTCAATAAACTCCCTTTCTGCTTAAGTTAGCCACAGGAGGTTTCTGTTGTTTGCAACCAAGGAATCTTGAGGGATGCGAAGGGTCCTAGTGGAAGCTAGCTGGAACTGGCCTTTGCAAGATGAGGAATTAGAAATCGGAACGTCTGGGAATCAGGGAAACTTTCTCCTTCTGTGTCATTTGGATGTATTCAGCTTCAAATAACAGAAAATCTGACATGGGCAGATTGTAAAAATTTGGAGCCCCTCCCACACTGACTCTGGCTTTGTCTGATGGGATCTTAAGAAACACAAGGCAGGTAGAGACTTGAAAGGTGCTTGTGCACTGGGGCTTGTTCTTACCTGCTGCTCCTGGGAACCCCTGACCACATGAACCAGCCTGGTCTAGCCTGCTGGGTGCTGGTGGGTGTGCTGAGCAGAGACAAGTGTCCCAGCGGAAGGCCACTCCAGACCAGGTTTCTCAACCTCGGTACTTATTGACATTTTAGATCAAATAATTCTTCATTGTGGGTAGTTGTTCTGTGCGTTGTAGGATGTTTAGTAGCATCCTTGGCTGCTACCCACTAGATGAGAGTAGCACCCACCGCCCCTGGTTGTGACAACCAAAATTGCATCCAGACATTGCCAAACTTCTCCTGGGGAGCAAAGTCGCTCCTGGTTGAGAATTACTGTCCTACCCCAACTTGCCTGCCCATGACCAGGCATGTAAATGCAGCCATTGTAAACCGTCCAGCCCCAGCCATGCCAGCCCAGACAGGAAAAGTGCCTAGCTTCACCCATGGAATCACGAGAAATAATAAATATTTATCGTTTCAAGTCACTAAGTTTTGAGTGGTTTGTTCCACAACGCAAATGTATATACCCGACTACTGTGTCTTAAATAGATAGGGATTTATTTGTCTCATACAAAAAGTACAGAGGTAGGCAGTCTGGTCACGGTTCGGAGCTCAGTGATGCCACCAGGCACCCACCCAGGCCTTCCAGTCTTTCCACTCATTGTCCTTGGCAGGTGGGCTTTGGCCTCTTGCTTGTTGCCTGGTGATCCCCAAGATGCTGCTCCAGCTCCAAGTCTGAGCTCCAGGCGTGAAAAAGGAGACAAGGCACAGGGACAAAGGGCAACCACTTTCTCCCAGAGAAGCTTGCCTTTTATTCCAGCAGGGAAGCCCTCCCCAGGGGCTTTCACTTATATGCCATTGGCCAAATCTGTACAACACGGCCCGCCCTAGCTGCAAGGGAGGCAGGACAACCAAGGCATTGGGCTTTGAGCCTATATGGCAGAGGAAAGCGACGGCTAAGCAATGACTAAATAGACTTAGTATCTGCAGTATCTGCTGCACTGTCTTTCTGGGTTCTGTAGTTTCTCATCTCTATTTGTTGTGTATCTACTCCAGCCTCCCTTTTTCTGAAGACCGGCTCTGTTTCTCCGAACACAAGGGGGAAAATGGCTGCCCCAGCCCTGGAACTGCATCAAGACTCTCAGCTCCAGCACCAGGAATGATGTGAATGGCTTCCCAGTGTCCCACTTCCCAATACCAAGGACCGAGATGCTGATTGGCCCAGCGTGAATTAGGAGAGAAATCTGATTGATCTGCTTCGGGTGGGGTATATACTACTCAGCCAATCAGCTATGGCTAAGGGAGCAGCATTATGGAGGGCAAACGTGCTGGCGGGGGTGCATTCTCTGGGCAAGGGAGGGTGTGGTCAAGGAGATGCCCAGAGAACTATGCAGTCCTAGGAGTGAAGAGAATAAATTGCCACTGTGGATTGTAACATTGGTATGATAAAAATTAAGGTGTCCTTTGAAAAACCTAAAATGCAGCCGAGTCACACAGGCATTACATTTAACTTATGCAAATTCAAATATAATTTTCAACAACGAACGTATTTTTCACACAGTTTGGCTCCCAAACAGGAGCCAGCTGCTTGCACTGCTGCTTCACCAAGCGATCTGTTCTGGTGCAGGAGAACAACTCGCTGTTTTGGACTTTGGGGATATGGTTCAGTCTAAATAACACCATGTTCTTTATAGGAAATTTCTGGGGTTTTCAAGAGTATTTGTAAGGTCGTTATGCCCCCCTCATGGACTTTAGAGCCTAACCGTGCGTGCGATGTTGTCTCCCACAGAACATCACACAGAGCGTGTCCTATTTCCCCCCATTTTAGTCAGCATAAAAAATACATTTGGTTTTTAAATATAAAAAATATTTTTATCATGGCTTTTTAGGAATAAAAAAATATATTGGTGACTTCTGGCTCTTCTTCCCATTTGGTTTGGCCACGTGGCCGTACAAGAAAGGCAGCGAGAGGCAGGGTGGGTAGAGAGAAGGCAGAACAGAGAGTGGAGCGGGGAAAACGAGCGAGGGCCTCTGCAGACACCACGAGCAAGGAGTGAGTCCACCTGGGCAGTGTGTGTTTGTTGGTGACTGGGAACTTGGCCTGTCCTTGTGGCTGGGACTGGAACTGCTGGGCCATCCTGGGGTAGCAGAATGGACAGGATGAGATGGGATTAGAAACCTACGTTCAAGACCTAATTCTTGAATTTACTAGCTGTGTGATTTTAGGCGGGCCATTTCACTCTCTGGGCCTCAGCTTCCTCATCTGTACAATGGGGGGACATAATACTATTTACTTCCCAGGGATCAGGGGAGGATTAAATGAGAAGTGTTCTGAAGACCACAGAGTGCCATATAAATTGTAGTCATTATTACAGAAGCGATAAAACTGATTGGCATTCTAAATTTATTATAATAAACGGAGATATAAATTCACTATACCATGGCCCCGACAGCCCTGAGGTTGCCATTCTGCCCTGTGGCTCCAGTACAAGTCTTGGGTTTTCTCAATTGTGTCTCTTGGAGCTCCTTGAAGGTCTGATGTTTGGGTACATCGTGACCCAAATGTGGAACCACATAATTGTACCTACCAGGCCTAGGAGTCAGGGTTACAAATCTGTATTCTTCATATACCTGAGTACGCGTACATTCATAGGCATTAAAAAAAAAAAAAAGAACCCCTTCCCCACATTCTCCAAAATACAATATTGTGCAAAATACCAGTCTAGAAAGAAAATACTAGGGTAACAATCTTTAAAGTCCTACAAAAGCATCTTAGTATTTTGACACAGAAGAGTCAGATGACTCGCGGAGGATCACGCAAGGCTGGCGGGACGACGCTTCTCTGGTTCCTTCCGCCGGGCTTCAAAAGCAAAAGGCTGTGGCTGGATCTGCTGGAGGCTTCTTTCTTCAGTGTCTCTCTTTCCTGGTCCATCTTTAGGGTGGCTTTCTTGACTCCAACCTTCAACAGGCAAGAGGAACAAACACACAGATTCTGTAATTGCACCAAGATCCCAAAAAGTTTCCCTCAAATGGTTTTGTTATTTTTTATACACAATATGTAAAAATACATACATACACACACAGATATAAGCAAAAGGAGAAAAGATGATTTATCATTATCATGCTACCCAAAGATAAGCCTTATCAGTGTTTTGGGGTACACTCTTCCAGATATACAGGTATTTCTTCCTGTTTACATTTTCAGACTTTATGGTTTTGAAACTAGGAGTTTCTTATGATGAGCACATTCATTGTGATCATGTTTCTCCTGAAAAGCTGTTACTGAATCGAATGTGTCTTAGGTCTCTGATGGCTTAGAGGAGAAAAAAGGCAGGACATTTGGGGGGGTCCGTCTAACCCTCTGAGCGCTTCCCACCCCCAGGACGAGATGTCCCAGCAGCCAAGTGCGTACCCTACTCCCTGGTCACAGCTGATTGGACACTTGGCACAGCTGCGCTTGTCAAATGATCAACCTCAGGATTTGGGGCTAGGGACACTGAGATGCCACTCACTTCTTGGGCGGGTCCTTTGAACTGGGGGACTGTGAGGTCATCCCTTCCTGTCACACGACTGGAGAGAGAAGAAATCAGCAGGGGTGTGGAGAGGACAGATGACATGTGTTGTGTGTGTGCACACGTGTGTACATGTGCGTGAGAGATGGTGCCCGGCGTCCCACAGCTTCCTGGTTCTCTCCCTCCCTTTTCATGAGGCGTGAATTTCTGTATCCTTATAAGAGCCCCCCGCCCCCCTTTCTGAGTAAGTTTCCGTAAACTGCAGCCCAAGAGTCTCTCTCACACACAATTTTGTACACACCGTAGATATTTCTGTGATTTGAAAATTTCTTTCCAGCAGGGCTTAAACCGCCAACCCTGTCTCCTACAGACCTTCGACTCCAACCTGTAGGACCCCCCTACTCCTGGGGCAAGAGGGCTGGGTGGCTGGCTGAGTTTCAGCTCTGCCACTTACTACCTCACCCTTGGTTTCCTCATCTGTCAAATAGGGACCAGAACATCAGTCCCACCTTCCTCAGAGGGCAGAAAGGAGATTCCGAGAGGATTTCAATGAAAGGGTCTGTTAGGACCATCCCTTAGGCCTAAAGGCCAGTTTAAAAATCACCCTGAGACCTGTGCCAGGAACCGCCAGGAGCCTGGGATGTGTTTAAGACTGCGTTCCAGATCGTTTCAGGGTGGGAAAGGCTAAAATCGCTACACTAGCCCACAAAGTCAATATTGGTCCGAGTGCCAGGGAAAAAGAAAACGGCAAACATCAAAAGCCTTCCCCCTCTAAACAACCCTTCCTTTATATTCCTTTTCATTGGATTTTCAATAAAATTGCTGACTGTGGACGGTTCCCAAATGCCAGTGCCCTGACCCGGTGTGGAGTCGGCTGTCGGGGTTGGAGCCAGGGAGTTTGTGAAAAATAAAGAATCCCAGGTCCCTGGCACCCCCACCCCCAGGTCTGCCAGGAGCCTGGGGTGGGAAGCGCCATAGAAGGAGCTTTGGTTCTCTTTTTGGTGTGACGAGGGAGGGGGCAGCAGAAGGCAGCAGGGAAGGCTGACCTGGGAGGGGATGACACTGGCAGTGCGCCCATGCACGTGTGGGCGGAGGGGCTGGGGAGCCGGCGCTCCACCCTGACACCACGCGTTGGAGCCACCTGCCTCACCCTCAGAGTGAAAAGGCGGAGGTTTAAATGGCAGCGATCAGGTGAAAATTAACTCAAGACACGCTGGGGTGGCTGCTTCCAGCAACTTCGAGCATCTAGGCAGCCCCCTGCCCATTCCACACAAGCTCAGGTCTCCCCTCCCCAGGGAGGCTCCTGCTGGTACCTGGACCGGGCAGGTCCCTGTGAAAACGCTCCTGAGCTCAGTCCACAGGCCATGGCCCTCAAGACACTTTGCACATAGGAATTATTTAATCATTACATGTATTTAGGTTTAAAAAAAAATGGCCCAAGACTGTAAGCCAGGAAGGTGGGGATTTTTATGTTTTCATTGATCTAATTCTGTGTTCTCAACCTTCTTTTCATTATTGCCCCCCAAGACTTCTTAGACATTTTTTCCTAATGCCTCCTACCCCTTTAGAGATAGCACAGTGTACATATATACATATATATGTATATAAAAATCTACATATCTGTATGGATACACATCTGTGCTTTATATAGAAAATGAGTGAGTTTTTGCCCTTGGGCAGCCCTCAGGTTTTTGCTCTCTCGGGGGTGACATTGCCCCCTTGGAGGGTACGTGATCGAACCTCAGCACCTGGACAGACCCTGCCACGTGGTCTCGGACTCTCGGTCAGTGTCTGTTGAGCGGCAGAGGGCCAGGACTGTCTCTCTTTTTGTTCCCCCTTCTCTCCCCAGTGCTTAGCACAGTAGGTGGCCTAGAAAATTTTCCTATTTAGCATACAACCCGCCAACAATTATAAACAACTGGTAGCCACAATGAAAAAAAAAATCAATGAATGGCATTTTGGAGGACAGAAAACAAAAAACCCATAGGGCCTTGAAAAGAGAAGAGATTCCAGTTCTGAAGCTTGCTAGAGAAAGACTTTTATGAATGGGCAAGACGGAAGGAGTGGATCTTACGGGGCCCGCCTTCTTTAAGGTGGTCACGATGACTCTATCTCCCTGTGGACTCAAGGCGGGGGATAGGGGAGGGAGACCCCAACTACACTTTGAAAGGAACCTGGAGGAAATCCTTTGGAACCGAGGAGATCCTAGACACCAAACTCCTAAGCCCTGGCTAGAGGGCTGGGAAATGGGAGGATCACTCTTTGCTCGCGGCTGAAGCACCATCTGCCCGCATTCTGTTGAGGCCAGAGGAGGCCTGAAATTCCAGGGGGCTTCACATCTCAGAGAAGCACAATATTCTCACAATGTCCGGGGCCCATCTGGACTCCTCCGTCATTTTACATCCTCAGCCAAAACCTAGCTGCAGGGCAGTGTCTGCTGCTCCCGTCTCTCCCTGGTGCACGGATTATTAAGCAACAAGCCTGCCTCCTCTTCCCCCTTTGCAGGGTGGCAAAGGTCTCAGGTCTAGGGGAGCCTGGGGACACTCTCTATCCTCCTAACATCCTGCTATGGGCAGCAGCCGCCTTCTAGTCTTAGGACAAGGGTGTTGGTTGAGAAGGGGCTTCTATTTTCCAAAAATGTCCCTTGTATAGAATATCTTTGGTTTTTCCAATGATAATTTTGTTGTCTCAAAATAACTGTGGGCTTTTATCAAACTCGAATATATCTCCTCTCTCATTCACTCAAAACGTATTTAGCTTTCAAGCTTCCTGAGAGCGTGTCTCTACTTTCTGCAAAGCGGAATATGGGTTGGGTCAATTCCAGTTCCAGGGTTGAACTGTGAATGGCAACGGTTCAACATGTCTAAGATTCCGGAGCCTCGATTATCAACTCTTAAAAAAGAGTACTCTAGAGGATGCTCCTTGAAATTCAAGAGCAATGCCACCCAAACCATGTTAGGTTTACTACCTGAAGGAGAGCAAGGGGCACTCACCTGTGGTCACAATCACACGGAGTTCCACAGAGTTCCCCTACTTAGTTGTGTGGCTCTGACAAATTAAAGTCTCTGAGTCTCAGACACCCCAATCTGTAGATTGGGGATGGTAACAATACCCACCCCACGGGGTGCTGCGATGATTGCCGGGTGCTTAGCTCTGTGCCCGGCACACGCCAGGAGCTCAGTACATAGCAGCTACAGTGCTACAGTCAGCTGGGTTCCCTGCTGACATCCCACCCTGCTCTCTCTTCTCTTTCTGGCTCACCTGGGAATTTGAGTTCTGTATCTTTTTCTTCACCATCTCTACAAATACTTGTCTCTTTAATACAGAAAAAATATTAACAAAATTTAGCTTGTGTTCCTCTTTGCCTTTCAAATAAAAGAAAAATGGGTTTTTCTCAACTTGCAGATGCTACCCGTTTGGAACATGGGGCCTTCCCGGGAACAGGGAGTGGCGACGTGGTCTGCGGTAGGTGGGGGCACGGCTCTGGGAGCCCTGGTGCGCTGTCCTGCTGAGTCTCTTGGGGACCTTTGTTTCAGGTTCCAGCAGAGGAGACTGGCCACCTGGGGGGCCGGCGAGGAGCCCTGCACTCTTCTTGGAGGGCGAATCTGCTTTGGCTGGAAGCAGAGCCTCCCAGGGCATGTGGAAGAGGCTACACATGCCCCATGGTTTTCCACCTAAGCCTCCCAACAGCCCAGGCACGATGGGACCCACAATGGCTAAACTCCCTGCAGGGAGACCGGGGGCTATGAGGGGGCCTGTTTGGGAGCCACTGTTACCCCACATCTGAAGCTTTCTATTTCCTGGGGTTTGATCTATAGTTGCTGACACAGGTGTCCTCCAGACGCCTGTACTTCAGGGACAGCTCTCTGAAGACAGAGCACCCCCTAGGCGCTGGAGATACAGCAGGGAGGGAGAGAGCTGAGCTGCGGTCTCCCTCTCAGAGCCCTGAGCTTCTCCTGGGGTCGCCAACCTGCCGCTGCCAGGGGCCAGGGAAGTAAGAGAAGAGGGTGAAATCGGGACAGCAGCAAACCCAGGAGCACGGGTCCTAAGGCGGCCTGTGGGATCGTGGGCCTGGTGTTGCCACAGCATCCCAGTTTCCCAGAGAAGCCAGAAATCCAGCGTATTTTGTGAAAGGGCCCTGTTTTGAAATGTTACTTACAAAAAAAACAACCCAAAACAAAAAACATGCCATGAGCCAAAAGCAGTACATCTGTGGGCTGCCATATTGTGACATCTGCTCAGAGCCTCCCGCCCTGGCATCTAGTTGGTGCTCAGTAAACAGTTGTTGGACAGCTGCCAGATAAAATAAAGGCTGCCGCTAAACTTGAATTTCAGAATGAAAACAAGCACTTTTTAGAAGTATAAGTAAGTCCCATGCAATATTTGGGACATACTTACACTAAATAACTGTTTGTTATCTTATACTAAATAACTGTTTGTTATCTTA